GAGAGATGGGTGGAGAGATGAGAGCACCCTGGGGTAGACGAACACACCTGGGCTGGAGAGAGAGGCACCCTGGGGCTAGAGAACACACCTGGGCGTGGAGAGAGAGCACCCTGGGGTAGGAGAACACACCTGGGGTGGAGAGACAGCACCCTGGGGTAGAGAACACACTGGGTGGAGAGAGAGCACCCTGGGGTAGAGAACAGCTCCTCGGGTGGAGAGGGAGCACCCTGGGAGAGAAACACCTGGGTGAGAGAGAGCACCTGGTAGAGAACACAACCCGGGGTGGGGAAGAGAGCACCTGGGGTAAAGAACACACCCTGGGGTGGAAAGAGAAGACACCCTGGGTAGAGAACACCACCTGGGGTGGAGAGACAGCACCCTGGGTAGAGAACCACCTGGGGGTGGAGAGAGAGCACCCTGGGGTAGAGAACAACACCTAGGGGGAAGAGACGCACCTGCGGTAGAGAACACTCCTGGGTGAGAGACAGCCACCCTGGGCGTAGAGACGACACCTGGGGTGGAGACAGAGACACCCTGGGTAAGAGAACACTACTGGGGTGGGGAGAGACAGCAACCCTGGGGTAGAGAACACACCTGGTGTAGAGAGAGAGCCCCTGGGTAAGAGAACAAACACCTGGGGTGGAGAGAAGCACCCTGGGTAGAGAACACAACTGGGGTGAGAGATGAGCACCGGGGGTACGAGAACACACCCTGGGGTGGAAGAGACGCACCTCCTGGGTAAGAACACACCTGGGGTGGAGAGAGAGCACCCTGGGGTAAGCAACACAACTGGGTGGGAAGACAGCACCCTGGGGTAGAGAACACACCTTGGGTGGAGAGAGAGCACCCTGGGGTAGAGAACACCACCTGGGGTGGAGAGACGCATGGAGCCACTGGGTAAGAAGCACCCTGGAGTAGAACCCTGGGGTGGAGAGAGAGCACCCTGGGTAGAGAAGCACACCTGGGTGGAGAGAGAGCACCCTGGGGTAAGAGAACACACCTGGGTGGAGAGAGAGCACCCTGGGGTAGGAGAACACACCTGGGGTGAGAGAGAGCACCCTGGGGGTAGAGAAGACACCTGGGGTGGGAGAGAGCACACCCTGGGGTAGAGAACACCCTGGGGGGAGAGAGCACCCTGGGGGTAGAGGAACACACCTGGGGTAGAGAGAGAGCACCCTGGGTATGAAACACAACTGGGGTTAGAGAGAGAGCACCTCTGGGTAAGAAGAACACTCCTGGGGTGAGAGAGAGCCACCCTGGGGTAGAGTAAACACTCCTGGGGTGGAGAGACAGCACTGCCCCCTGGGGTAGAGAACACACCTGGGTGGAGAGAGAGCACCCTGGGGTAGAGAACACACCTGGGGGAGAGAGAGCACCCTGGGGTAGAGAACACACCTGGGGTGGAGAGAGAAGCACCCCACTGGGTAGAGAACAGCTCCTGGGGTGGAGAGACAGCACCCTGGGTAGAAGAACACACTGGGGTGGAAAAGAGAGCACCCTGGTAGAGAACACACCTGGGTGGAGAGAGAGGCCCCCTGGGGTAGAGAACACACCTGGGGTAGAGAGAGAGCACCTGCGGGTAAGAGAACACACCTGGGTGGAGAGAGAGCACCTGGGGTAGAGAACAACACCTGGGGTGGAGAGAGAGCACCCTGGGTAGAGAACACTCCCTGGGGAGGAGAGAGAGCAGCCCGTAGAGAAACACAAATGGGGTGGAGAGACAGCACCCTGGGGTAGAGAACACACCTGGGGTAGAGAGAGAGCGCCCCTGGGGTAGAGAACACACCTCTGGTGGAGAGACAGCACCCCCTGGGTAGAGAACACACCTGGGGTAAAAAAAAAAAAAAAGAGGAGAGCACCAATGGGGTAGAGAACACAACCTGGAGTGGAGAGAGAGCACCCTGGGGTAGAAGGAACAACAAGCTGGGGTGGAGAGACAGCACCCTGGGGTAGTGAACACACCTGGGTGAAGAGAGAGCACCCTGGGTAGAGAAACACAACCTGGGTGGAGAGAAGCACCCTGGGAGTGAGAGAAACACCTGGGTGGAGAGAGAGCACCCTGGGGTAGAGAACACACCTGGGGTGGAGAGGAGCACCCTGGGGGTAGAGAACAACCTGGGTGGACGAAGAAGCACCTGGGGTAGAGAACACGACCTGGGGTGGAGAGAGAGCACCCTGGGTAGAAGCACAACCTGGGGTGGAGAGAGAGCACCCTGGGGTAGAGAACACACCTGGGGTGGAGAGAGAGCACCCTGGGGTAGAGAACACTCCTGGGTGGAGAGAGAGCACCCTGGGGTAGAGAAACACTCCTGGGGTGGAGAGACAGCACCCTGAGCTTATAGAACACTCCTGGGGTGGAGAGACAGCACCCTGTGGTGGATTGAGGACAGAGACCCGTGGACCTGGGGTGCCCCCTGGAGCCGGAGCCTGCCTGAGCGCTGCCCACTGCACTCTGTGCTGAGGTGCTGAGGCTGCTTGCTAAGGGAGCATGGGAGGTGCAGCCAACCAGGCAGCGGCTGCCAGAAAACAAAGCTGCGGAGAGCTGCGGTGCATCAGATGGCAGCGGAGCAGGGCTTGGGGCTTGCTCCGCCCACGGGCAAGGGGACAGAGGCTCTGCCCTTCTGAAGACGGCGAGACTCGCGCCAGGCTGCTGAGGGTTCTGGGACATGGACTCGAGGCTCTGAGAAGCAGGTGAGGATGTCACTGCACAGAGTGCACCTCGGGGTCCCTTCCTTGCACTCACTCCTGGAAGCCTGGCCCTGGGGGGACGGTGGTGCTGTGTGACAAGAGGCAGGGGGTGTCCCGCCAGGCCCACAGCGGAGCCTCCCTGAGCCGCCTCTGCTGCGATGAGAACCAACATGGCCTACATCCTGCGTGGGGTCCCTACCCTCCAAGGTGGCCTCGCGCACCCTCACCGCCACCTGGGGCCGGAGAGAGCAGCCCCTGGGCTGCAGCCAGGGCGCCCCCACGGTGGGGTCTGCACCCTGAGTGGTGGCCGCGGCTCACCACTTCCAGGCCCAGGACGTTGCCGTGCAGAGAGCCGTATCGAAGGAACCTCAGCCCGCCGGCGTTGGTCGCCACGTTTCCCCCAATGTGGCAGCTGCCCTTGGCGCCCAAGTCCAGCGGCATGATGAAGTCGCGCTCCTCCACGAGCCGGCTCAGCTCCTCCAGCACGCACCCCGCCTGGCACACCAGCGTCCCTGCAGGCACAGCCGGAGCACAGCGCTCACCGGGCGGGCCCCCTGGCAAGCCCCCCAGTGGGACGTCAGCCTCAGAGCCTGGGCCGAGGAGAAGAGGCGAGAGGTGTGGCCTGCCCACCTCCCCAGAATAAAAACATCTGGACCTGGAGTCACCTCGGTGATGACAGTGACAAGGGAGAAAAAACGCAGGCTGTGGAAGGAGCAGAGAGAGACTGCTGCAACGTGGTGACTCTCCCCAGATCCTGCCCTGGAACACCGGGCCACGTCTGGGGCTGGGGTGCTGCTGGCATCTCGTGGGTAGGGGCCAGGATGCGGCTTAGCACCCGGCAGCACCCAGGTGCTCAGGGGAGGCCCTGCCCCGGGGAGAACTGATGCCGCGCGCCCACCCCATGTGGACACGGGAGCCCCTCACGCGTGTCGCCTATGGAGCCCACGTCTCCAGGGAGGGCTGGGGTCGGAGGGCACCGGAGCGAGCCACAGGCCAGGTCACCTAAGTGGCCGCGTGGCAGACGCACCCGGAGCGCAGGCGCCATGGGGCTGGGCCGGCTCCGTCCCGGCCCTGGACACCGCACCCCAGCAGCCCCGGCAGCCAACGAGGAAGGAAACCCCGCCGGCACCTGCTCCGGACAAGGGGCCGCCCCGCCGGGAGAAGAGGCTCACCGGACACATCGTCGAAGCTGACGACCTGGTTCATGAGGGCAGTGGATAGCACGATCTCGTCGAAGACGGGGACGCTGCCCCCCACCATGCCGGTGTTCCCGCCCTGGGGGTTCACAGCCAGGTTCCTCTCGTGGCAGTGCCTGGGCCGGGCACAGGAAGGCGTCAGGGCCCTGTCCCCACGCCTGGCCGCCAGCCCCGCTTCCCCTCCTCGGCTTCCCCACCACCTTGCCCCCGCCCGCCTGCGTGAGGGGCTCTGGGGACGGCCGATGTCGGCTGTTCCGAGGTCCTTCTGCCACGCGCTGCTCAGAGCATCCGGCTCCTGCCCCCACGCCCCAGCACCCCTGCATCCCGGGATCCCCCAGACGGTGGCCAGAACCACCGTGGTGCCTCCCCCACAAGGCGCGGCCCTGCAAAGACCGGAAGGGAGGAGGACTCGTGGGGAGGGTCTGCGGAAACGGGCTCCTGTCTGAGCCACCACGCACTGCCCAAGCCTCGTGAGAGACAGGGAAGCAGGGCAGGGTGGGAGGCACGGCCCGGCCACCTCACCTGAGAACGTGGGACACCTCCTCTGAAGTCCTGGGCCTCAGCAGCACCTTGCTGCAGCCTGCCACGGAGAGAGCCCGAGTCAGATGCCCCGCGCAGGGAGGCGACTCAGACTGGAATCGCCCGGAAGGGCCCTTGCCGGGAAGAACGCTCTCTAGGGCACTTCCTCTTGCTCAGCCAGGCGGCTGCACAGCCACGGTTGTCCGTGAGCCGCGCCCAACCGGCGCAAGAGCAGACTGCGAACCACAGGCCTACGTAACACGCTGCTGGGCGTGGCGAGCCGGGCCATGGGGCGGCTGTGGGCCGTGGCGGTCCACAGACCCGCTGGCGTGGAGGCCGCGTCACCCACTCGTCCCACCAGGGTGAAGGTGGCCGGGTCCCAGGATGCCGGCTTCTCCACGGCAAGTTACCTCGGTTCCCTTTATGGCTAACAAGTGTCCCCTGGGGACACGGAGACTGAATATCTCAGAATATTTAATTTAACTCTGTGAATACCTCCTCAGAATTCACACACCAATTTTAGCATCTGCTGGTGGCCTGCCTGAATCAGTTATCACAGGGCAGCCAAACGGCGACTTCTCTAAATCCAGCCACCAGCCTTCTTTCATTTCTTAGCTGATGTTCGGCCGTAGAAAAGGCGTTTGCCGCGCTGATGATTTGCTTAGTCAGCTACTTACTTGCTCATCCGGGCCGGCTCCCGGGTTCTCGTTTCATCCACCCGGTAAGACCCTCTGCTGCCATGACGAACCTGATGCCCAGACGTGGGTGCGGGAGAACTCTGGGCTGGTCAGCCGGTGGCTGACCGCCGCCCCTACACGCTAAGTTTCCTTCCTCCTCCCGACCTCTCTGAGAGGGTCTGGCGGGAAATGGCGGCAGAGGCTGCAGGAACGCCAAGAAGGAAGCCCTCTGTGGGGCTCCAAGAACCGAGCTGTCACTCTTTCGACTGTGAGCGCCACTTCTTATCTGCCTTTCATCAGACAGAAGGTTTTCGTGGAGGGTCGTCTGGGCCTTTATTTATCTGACTTTAGGCCGGGCGGTGGCTCACGCCTGTAATCCCAGCACTCTGGGAGGCCGAGGCGGGAGGACTGCTTGAGCTCAGGAGTTCGAGACCAGCCTGAGCAAGAGCGAGACCCCGTCTCTACTAAAAATAGAAAAAATTAGCCAGTCAACTAAAAATGAAACAAACAAACAAAAATTAGTCGGGCATGGTGGCGCATGCCTGTAGTCCCAGCTACTCAAGAGGCTGAGGCAGGAGGATCTCTTGAGCCCAGGAGTCTGAGGTTGCTGTGAGCTAGGGTGACACCATGGCACTCTAGCCCGGGCAACAAAGCGAGACTCTGTCTCAAAACAAAAGAACACTGTAAAGTCACCACCACCGAATAGCTTTCTTCAAAGGCATGAAAAGGCATGGGGAGCAGTAAACTCTATGCCCCGCTCGGTGTTTCTGTCTTCCATGCCCCATGCACAGCTATGTCTCAAGCCCACCCTCCTGGGAGTGCGGCGAGAACAGACCCTGACTCACCTCGGACTGTCCTCAGCCAGTCCACGTTGTGAGCCTCCAGCTCCGCTGGGTCTGTGCTGACCCTACCGGGCATGATGTGCTCAAAGGTGGCCAAGTCCTGCTCAGACACAGTGGAGAACGGAAGCCGCCGCACGGGGTAGCGCTCCTGGGTCAGCATCACCTCCGGGGGCCGGGAGGACATCGAGGGGCAGCCTCTGCGGGCCCCCCAAGAGCTGCCTGGCCATCTTCTCTGCTGCACCCCGGCTCTGAGAGCACACGCTGTCTGCGCCCATCCTGGAGAGGCCCGGAAGAGCCACCACGGCCACCGGGGCACCCGATGGGGCACCATGGCTCTTGCCTGAAACACAAGTGAACTGCAGGTTTGGGGTACGACGGAGCAGTGAGGGCGCCACAGCCCAGGCAGAGAACCGCGGGTAGCCGAGCAGGTTTGGGGTACAACGGAGCAGTGAGGGCGCCACAGCCCAGGCAGAGAACCGCGGGTAGCCGAGCAGGTTTGGGGTACAACGGAGCAGTGAGGGCGCCACAGCCCAAGCAGAGAACCGCGGGTAGCCAAGTGCGGCACCCGCAGGCCAGCCACCCAGGGCCCAGAAGCACCCCAGGGCCCCCACGGCTGGAAGGCGCAGGGGACAGGCACCAGGAGGGCTCTGTTCCTGACCCCAGTGCGGCTGTCCTGCACATTCCCCTTGTGAGAAGTCATTCAATGGTCCACCTGTGGGTGGTGCATTCTCTCCTGGGAGTTGTTTTTTTTTTTTTTTTGGTTTTTTTTGAGACAGAATCTCACTTTGTTGCCCAGGCTAGAGTGAGTGCCGTGGCGTCAGCCTAGCTCACAGCAACCTCAATCTCCTGGGCTCAGGCAATCCTGCTGCTGCCTCAGCCTCCCAAGTAGCTGGGACTACAGGCATGCGCCACCATGCCCAACTAATTTTTTCTGTATATATTAGTTGGCCAATTAATTTCTTTCTATTTATAGTAGAGGCGGGGTCTTGCTCTTGCTCAGGCTGGTTTTGAACTTCTGACCTCAAGCAATCCGCCCACCTCGGCCTCCCAGAGAGCTGGGATTACAGGCATGAGCAACCTCCCCGCCAGGGAGTTGTATTTTAATAACAGGCCCTCCTCCTTCAGAACAAAGCTGGGGTTTGAGGCTCCAGAACAGCAGCCCCCAACCTTTCTGGCACCAGGGACCAGTTCATGGAAGAATTTTCCACGGAGGGGGCGGAGCTGTTTTCCTAACAAGCCATAGACCACCCAGGATTGGCGACCAGCACTAAAAGGAAAGGGAAGGATGTCACTAAATTGTGCACTAAAAAATGGTTAAAATGGTAAAATTTCATGTTTTATGCATATTTTACCACAAGTTTGAAAAACGCCTGCAGAATCAAAAAAGGGAAAGAAGGGGAGGGGAGGGAAACTTCTCGGACCACGCTCCAGGGTTCCACGGGGTTCCGCACCCACCGCTGCGGAGGGGCAGGGCAGGGTGACAAGAGGGAGCCGGCCTCCGGGTGCGGTGCGGGCCTGGAGCGGGCGGGGCAGGGGTAGGGGCGGCCGCCCACACCGGACAGGGCCGGCTGGCCTCGAGGGGCCGTCGCGGGACAGGGTGGACCCGCGCAACCACCGCGCGGGGCAGGGGCCCACCCAAGCGGCCCCCGGCTGGGCCCGGGCACCCGGCGGGTGAGCACGGCCGCCACCCGCGTCGCCGCGCCTAGGACCCCCGTTCCCGCAGCCCCCGCGCCGAGCCGGCCGCGCGCACGCACCCGCAACCTCGTCCCTGTCCCGCCAGCCGCGCGCACGCACCCGCAACCTCGTCCCTGCACGGCCAGCCGCGCGCACGCACCCGCAACCTCGTCCCTGTCCCGCCAGCCGCGCGCACGTACCCGCAACTGTGACCCCCGTCCCGACGGCCGCGCGCACGCACTAGCAACCGTGACCCCGTCCTGCCGACCGCGCGCACGCACCCACAACCCCAGTCCTGCCGGCCGCGCGCACGCACCTGCAACAGGATCCCCCTCCCGCCGACCGCGCACGTACCCGCAACTGTAAGCCCCGTCGCGACGGCCGCGCACACGCACCCGCCGCTTCGTCCCCGTCCCGCAGGCCGCGCAGAATAGAGGGGCGGGGCGACCCTGCGCCTGCGCACTTGCACGACCTCCGCCGGCACGCTGGTCCCGCCCAAGGCAGGGACCTCAGGAGCTGAGGCCTCGCCCCGCACCGCCCGGCGGGACCCGGCACACCCCTCCTGACCCTTTCCCTGAGCTCCACCGCATTATGCCAAAAAGGCACCGAAGGGTGAAAGCCCTACCGCGCGTCCTGCTGTGGGACCCCGGGGCCTCAGTGTCCACTCGGGGCCTCCGGCCCAGCGGGCAACATCCCTGCGGGGTGCGGACCCACGCGGCAGAGCAGACCCCTCGGACGCTCGGAAGGCAAGGGCGGGCCTGAGAGGGGCAAGCCGCTCCTGAGTCCCAGCGCCACAGAGCACCCTCTCTACCCCTAACCCCCAACCCTAATCCTAGAACCCTAACTCCCTAACCTCCTAACCCTAAAACCCTAAGCTCCTAGCCCTCGCCCCCTAACCCTAACCCCTGCCCTCCTCGCGTCTGAACCTGGCGAGCCTTTCCTCCGAGTTCTAAGCCTAGGCAGCCCCCCCACCCCATCCCCACCCCCACCCTTGGGTAAGGGTTGTCCCCATGTTCACAGTTTGCTTTTTTGGGACTCCATGCGCTGAGTTAACCCGTTAGAGTAACTCAGATGGTTTCTGCTTTCCGGATGCAGCCACTGGAACCCAGAGCGGCGTGGGGGCACCGGCAGCGCTGGTCCCTCGGGCGCACCAGCTCCCTGTCCTCAGCGAGGCAGACCAGGGATGTCCTGTGGAGCGTAAGGTAATGAAAACCTCTGGCCAGGTCAGGGCAGGACCCAGGAGGAGCACACTGCCCCGAGGAAGACTGGAGGTGTGCAGTTGGTTTTGTCAAGTAAAAGCAAACGAATTCGGTGGCTCTTGGTAATTGGCAGAGAGAAACCAGGTTTCACACAGGTTCACAGCTGTGCACCACATGCCAGGTGAGTGCTGAGTGGCTCTGGTAACTTCTGGAGCAGCAGGTGTATCGGAGACATCACCTACGTCTTCAATACGTAGGTGTATCGGAGACATCACCTACGTCTTCCCTAAGATCTGCCCACCCTCTTTACAGGTAAGTCAAATGCAGAGATGTTGCTGCATCTTCCAGGTGTAGGATGCATTTTGCTTCTGGGTTACCATCCTGGTAGAAAAAGGACATCCTAGAGACACCTACGAAGCCCTTGTTCCACTGGTCAAAGTCAGTTTGGGAATTTTGCCAGTTGTCAAGTATGTTTCAGTTACACATTCCGGAACTACAGAGATGACCAGAGGGGTCTGTGGACCCCCCTTAGTGCTCAGCCTCAAGGCCAGTGGCATCTTGGACCTCTGAATTAGTAACAATTCAGAACCAATAAAGATTACCACCCCACCCCCACCCCCAGGGCGCCACCCCCCAGCAAGCAGCTGCAAGTACCCTGGAGAATGTTCTGGAGGAAAACAGTACATTGTGCCCGAGGAGTAAATTTTTGTCAAGCTCACCCCGAGCTGTAGTGTTTTGTGATGGCAGCCCGAGCAGACTAGGACAGCTTCCAAAGGGGTGTCAATATCCACGTGAGTCTTGGAGGCAGCCCTTCCATTCCAGAGAAAGCACAGTGCACCTTTACGAAGCAACATACATGTTCTCACTGATGCACGCGTCCTTCTTGTGAGCTTGGGGACCAACTTCTGATGCTGCAACCTAGCCAAGGCCCAGCGCTGGCCACCGACCCTCCTGAGCACCCAGCCAAGGCGAGACACAGGGTCCTGCCACGCCACGGCCAGCAAAGCCCCCAACAACTCTCCTGCGATCACCGCACGTCCCTTCAAAACTCAGCTTGTGGTATGCGTTTCTCTGGGCACGACACTGAAATTGTACACCTGTTTCCCAAAATGATGTACTTTCAAACGTTTGTTCCAAAAAATACTTTATTTATTAAACAATATATCCATAATCTATAACATGATCCAAAAATACAGATATACATCTTTACATTATTTAATAAAAAGATTTACAATATTATCTTTCCTTTACAAAGGGAACATAGATAATTCCTTGAAAATAAAACGTGACATTCATGTTAAAGCTGCTCATCTTTTTGGATGAAATGTGGTTAAGGGTGAACACCACAAAATACACACATAGGAAGAAAGAAACTTCATAAAACTCTCTCCTGAATGGGAACACTTTTCTTACATTTCCCCTGCTTTAAAATTCCTCTCAACACAGATAATGAAGACCAGTCACTGTCCACTAAAAGTCTAGGAAAACCTTAAATCTTCAATGCCCAAGATAAACGTTCCTTGTGGTGTCGCTGTAGCCCGTGGAGACCGGACCTCCCAGTCCCACGACAGGGCAGCCTCCTGGCTCTGTGGCTGTAGGAAAGTGCGCTGGGCCAGTCACTGCTCGGGGAGCCCCTGCCCGGGCTCCCCAGACAGGTCGGGAGGCGGAGTGCAGCACGGCTGCTGGGCGGGGAGAGGCAGGGCTGGCCGCTGTCCCCTCCATCCCAAGAAGCCCTCCCGCCATCACTGGCCACACAGCTGCTTCCGGCTGCCCCAGGCCTGCTGGAAGACGCCCGGCCCCCACCGCCCTGGCCACACCGGTCTCAGGTCTACCTGCCCAGGGGCCTGACCACAGAGGCAGACGGCCAGCTGCTGCTCAGCGTCACGCGGACCTCAGCTCGGCGCCCGTCCCAGGCAGCGGCACCAGCACGTCCACAGATCCGAGGGACTCGGTTTAACAAACCTTTGTAGAACACAGCATGCCTTGTCCTAGAGGGAAACTAGGGACCTCCTCACCTTGCTACTGCTGACACGGCACGAGGACAAGGAGAGGGACTCTGCTTCCCCGCTGCGCAAAACGCCCCTTCCCTGACAGGTGAACCCAGGCCCCGGAGGAGCCACGTCCTCGGCTCAGATAAAGCAGCCAGAGCGACCTGCAGGGTCCCGCCCCGACCCCTCAGCCCGAGACGGACGGGGCTGGCTGCACGGCCACCTCCACAGCCAGGTCTGCAGCCAGGCAGGTGTGGGGAGCTCTGGTCCACAACTGAACCCCAGAACCACGGGGGCAGCACGTAGACGGTGCAAGCAGCACCACTCCCGCCGTCCCTGTGCGGAGCGGAGCGGGCCAGGCCGCAGGACCTTCCTTCCTGCCCAAACGGCCATTCCCGAGTGTCCTCCCCTCGCAGCCAGTGCCAACAGTCGAGACAGGCATGCCGTCGGCATCCAGGCAACATTCCCAGGAATTCTATTCTGCTCACGTTTCCATGTTTATTCCACAGCTATGTGCACGTTATTTTGGTGACGTTATTCTAAATGGCGAAAATAAACACTAAAAACAGGCAAGCACAGAAACCTTAAAACGAGGCCAGAAACAACAGGGGCGCCGCACGGGGACCAGCAGGTCGAGCGAGCCCCGAGGGAGGCCGGCGCCCCTCCCCTGGGGCCTGAGACAGTGGAAGCCTGATCAGCGCCAGAAACCACATCAACAGGCTCGCGTCTCCCTGGCGCCCGGCCTGTGTGCGAGCCGTCCAGAGGCGAAGCGTCGACGTTAAGTTGGTTCGTAGGGGGTCTCCAGGCACTGTCGTGTGCCGAGCTCTCCGTACTTACCTGTCCCTCTCCACGACGAATGGCAAAAGAGTGGAGAAAAAACTTTCCCACAGTTTGCTCTCTATAGTCTTCAAACACCCGTGTTCATAAAAAGCTGTTATTAAACAAGAAAGAAACCACGCGCTGGTTTCGCGGCTGAGACTGAGGTGTGGCCGGTGCTCTGGGCTGGCCGCCTCCCCCCTCCTGAGTGGCTGGAAGGCGCCGGCTCCGGAAGCTCTGTCAGGCCTGGGACCCGACGGAGAGGAGTGCAGCAGCTGCCAAGCATCCACCTGCACCTGCCGGCACCTGCCCACACCTGTCCGCACCTGCCCACATCTGCCACCTGGAAACGGCCTGCACGTGCCCCCTGAAGAGGCCCAGAGCAAGCCCAAGCCCGTACTGAGGCAGCCGAGTGGCCCGAGCCCTGCTGAGGGCCGTGCCCCCCTCTGACGTGCTGTGGCGAGTAGCCCCAGTCACAGTGCTGCCTGTCCTCTCCTGGCCAGCGCTGGGGCACAGGAGGGAAGACGCGTGCGGCCGTCAGAAGGAACCAGCCAGAAGGCCCGCCCCGTAAAGACGAGACTTTTCCTAAACCAGGGATTTCACACCTCAGCTCTCTCGGAGCTTCTTCTGGTGTGAGGACAGGGCAGGCTCCCTGTGCCCCGAGGGTCCCTGCCTCCTCCACACGCACGCCGGGGGTTTCTGAGGGTCCAGGATGCTCTCGCACAAGTGGTCTCAGACCGATGTGTGCGTCCTGCCCACCTGCTACCAAAAAGATGGCTCGAAATCGTTGGTGAATGCTGACGAAACAGAAAGCACACTCTAGTCTCGCTGCAGAAGCACCACTGCGGCCCGGCAAGCTCACAGACGGCATCACCGCGCAGCCCCGGAAACGCTGCTGACGGGCAGCGTGCGCCGGCGTGATCCGCCCCCACTGGACTGGACTCACGGCACAGACACACAGCCCCACAGTCTTCACGCCAGCACAGTAATCTCATCTTCACAGTAAAACGCCGGGAATTCCCAGGGGACGGGGCGCCCGCCCGCTGCCACGCCGTCTCTGCCTGGCGCCGGTCACTGGCAAGAGCCGCTTCCTCCAGGAGGCGCCCCCAGGGGAGGACTGGTGCAGTGAGGCTGAGGCCGCCGCCTCCCACGAGAGCCCTTCCCGGCACGTCAGAGGGGCCCTCGCCCAGGCCCACAGCCGCCGAACCGGCATCGCAGCCCAGCGAGCAGACGGGGGCCGCCCCGCGCACGGGCGCGGCAGAGGTGCTTGCTCACGGGCGTCGGCGTGGGCGCGCTGCGCACAGTCGGGGAAGCTACTCACAGACTGCGCGAGGTGCAGCGCTCGCTGCACGGTGGGGGCAGTGTACCAGGTCAAGGTGTCCGCCCCGCCGAGGCTGCACCTGGCAGCGAGTCCCTCGGGCTCACTCAGTGCCTGCGCGCTCGGTGCTGGGGTGGGGTCTGTATAAAACGTCACAGGGATAAAGTCTCTGCGGCAAGTCCCCGTAGGATCACGGCTCCGTGCAAACAGGGCTGGGGGTTTCTGGTCTTAGGAGACACCAGAGTCACGACTGGCCACTGAGTTCTTAAATACCCATCGAACAAGGTAGCTTTAAAATGGAGGAAATATTGCAACGTGAATGAGGGGACGTATGGACTTGCTCTCCCGACCCGGCACACGGCTTCTCCTTACTTCTTCTTCCTCTTCTCCTGGACGCACCGCGGACAGAACCTGGGGAGAAAGGCCCAGTGAGTGACGCCTGCCACACCCTTCCCCAGCGCTCAGGACACCCAGCTCCCCTCCGCGTGGCCCCCAGAGCTGCCGGGTGCTGGCGACGCAGCACTGAACGGCGCAGCCCTGCCCGCTGGGGGGGGGGCCAGGGCGCAGGCGGCGCTGTCTACGCATGTGCTTGGAGGGTGACGGACTCACACCAGCGAACACTCTGCTCTTACACGCGCACATTCCTCTCAACCGAGGGGATTGCTCCCCTCTGGCTGCCGCCAGCCCGCTGTTGCCTATTGCTCACTGCAGCCGGAGTCTGTGGGGCCGGGTGGTGCAAACTCACACGCACGCCGTGGGCCAGGCAGGCCCACACTGCACCGTGGAACCTTCCTGTTTCTCAAGGGCCAAGCAAGTTCTGGAGCCTCCGCCACGGGGGCTGCTCTGGAACAGTCCTGGACAACGGCAGCCGCTCATGACACGGGACATTCTAGCAGGTTCCCCAGCCAGTCCCGGACACACACAGCAGCAAACATCAGCTCCCACCAGGCCCGAGCCTGAGCCCGGGGCCTCTGCCCTGACTCTGCAAGAACCGGGAGCTCCAGGGCGCAGGTCCGTGTTGCAACGGTGTGTCCGCCCAGAGGGTTCAACTCTTGGGAAAAAGGAAGAAGCCTGAACACTCAGCGATCTATGGAAAGGACATGGAGAACGCCCACGTCCCGCCACGCACCCGTGTCCTGCGCCGGGCCGGCTCACTGCGCACGGGACAGCCCCGCCCTCTCCCTAATGCCGACTGCATTCCCACGGCAAGTCCTGCAAACGCAAACTCGCCCGAATCCCATCATGAATCAGACCTCCCCGCCCAACGCCCCTGCCCCGAGCCACACACGCCTGTTCTTTATCCCACGTGTACCAGCGGGGCACACGTGGGTTCGGCTGTTGCTATGCCCGCCTGCCGCACAGTCCGCCACGTCTGCCTGGCGTGGGGTGCGGCCCAGCACCGGCGCGGTCCCTCGGTGCGCAGGGCGCTGCAAGGTGGCATCTGTGGCCACGAGACAGGCCTGTGTCAACATCCGTGACATCAGTGAGCTGGAGGGACCGGAGTCCTCCTCGTGGCGTCCACCCTCCTCCGTTCCCGCCCCGTCCTCACGTCACTCAACGCACTCTCGCAACTGTGGGCCGGTCCCAGGGAGCTTCGACCAGTTACCACAGCCACCTCTGGGTGCTGCCCCAAGGAGCCGGCGTCCTGCAGCGTCATTTTCAGAACGTGTCCGTTCTCAGCACATGTGAACAGAACCACTCTGGTCTTTATGTAAATGATCCTAGGAAAGACGGTGCCAGCCGTCGCCGCTGCCGGCCGAAGGCAAAGACCTAGGAGTGCGCTCACGCCCGCATGGCCCCGCCAGGGACAGCCGTCCGCACGGCCGCGGGCCACACCCTGGCTCAGCGTCCAGGCTCATCTCTCCTCAAAACGTCCCTCGGGGACAAGAACCTTCACTTCTCATTTAAGAGATCGCCACCTTGCTCGAGCGCCGGGAGGGCTGGTTTTGGGAAGACAACTGAATGTCAGTGTCACGCGAACACAATAAACGCAGTCCCGGGTGGGGTCGGCCCCAGGCCCAGTGCTGAGGGGCAGGGGCACCGCAGCCACACCCGCAAGGCTGGGCAGGAGGCGCACGCACAGCCCCCGCCCCCACGCCCAGCTGCTGCTAGTCGCTGCCAGTCGGCCCCAGCCGCGCAGCCCAGGTCCAGCCACCAAGGGCCTCCCTCACGGGAGACCGGCAGCCCAGCGCCCAACAGGCGGGAAGAAAGCGGAGCGCGTGCCCCATACTGACCATTTTCCTTTGGGCTTCGTGGTGAGGTCCACGCAGGCGAAGTGAAACCACTCGATCGGACACTGCAAGGTAAAGAGAAAAGCTTGCGTTCTGCGCGTGAAGCACAGGAAGCGCCAACACCCCCAGCCCCGCCCGCAGCCCCTGCCCAGGCACCCGCGCCCCCAGGCGCTCGGCCCAGCCCTGCACGGCGCCGGACACTCACGTCGGGGTTGTCGCAGCCGATCATCTCCCCGTAGGAGACCTGGTGGCACAGGCAGTACGTGGGCTCGTTGGGATCCACAGGCATGTCCAGTACGTCGGACGGGTGCACGGACAGGATGGTCTCGGTGAACTCTGACCTGGCGGGGCACAGACACCGCTGAAGGGCACGGCAGGGCGTCTCCGGCCCTCCTGCCGCCGGGTCAAGGTTCCCTCACTTCAAAACCAAGAAGGTGACTGTTCCGAGGGGGATCTGTGACGTGCTCTGAACTGCTCATCACGAATAAACAAACGTGCTTCCGTTTTTCTTGTTGTTTAGAAACCGAAGTATCAGTAATTCCCGGAGCCCATTACCGCAGAGGTTCGCCAACTGAGCATGCCCTTCAGGGGTGCTTTCTTCCTGAGTCAAAGACCTTCAATCAAACCCTCAATAGCCCCTCTGACCAAGCAACGTTCTTCTAAGAATTTATAGCAAGAAAATAAGATGTGGCCGGATGTGCTGGCCACACCTGTCATCCCAGCTACTCGGAGGCCGAGGCAGGAGGATGCCTCGAGCCCAGGAGTTGGAGGCTGCAGGGAGCTGTGATGATACCACTGCTCTCCAGCCTGGACGGTAAACAAGTAAGATGTGGGCAAAGTGTTAGCTGAAGAGATTTCACTAGAATGCCATTCACCACAGAAACCCAGAAACAGCAGGGCGGAGGCAGGGCGGAGGCAGGAGGCACCACTGCCACAAGGACCGGCGCGGGCAGGGCACACGGGCACCCTCGAGGCTGCAAAGTACCATGCTCGCCACACAGCGAAAGGGCCCCGTCTCCTCTAGGCACAGGAAGCCTCTGTCCCTCCCCTCTGGGTGTGTCTCTGAGGCCCCTGGGGCCAGCAGACCTCACCACCCACCAGCAGACAGCTGGTGCCTGAGAGAAACCTGGTCCTGACCCAGACCAGCCCCACTGCCAGGCGGCCGGCGCAGTCCACGCCGGACACGCCCTCCTCCCCCGAGAACAGCCTGTGTCCAGGCCCGCCACGCGTCTACCGGGGACCTCTGCCCCCAAAGCCACCAAAACAGCAGCCCCCACACACACCGAGCCGTCACCACCCCAGGCCTTGCAGCAGGGTCACTCTGACCACACGCCGCCGGTCGCTGCTCCATTCCCCACGGCCCCCCTCCGATCCCCAACAGCTGAAATTCCACCCTGCCCCTCGCCCCTCAAACCCGTGCCATCAACACCTGGGACCTGGGTGGAGACTTCTGCCTATTTGAAAGGGATGGGTGCACTTACGGGAACTTATTCTTTACTATGTTGGCATTTTTAGATAAACTTGTAAGCTGCAGGGCAGGGTGGACGGTATGTACCCATCGGTGCAGAAAGAGAAAAATCCGACCCAACCCACCCCCAGCCCAGGAATATCTATCTGCCTATAAAAACGCAGGTCCACACGGGACCCCGGCCTGGGGAGGCAGACCACTGCCACCAGGGTGAAAGGAAGAGAAGTCCAGAGCCCGAGGGAGCGACGCCCACCTTCCCGAGTGCCCATCGGCAGCCTCCCGTGCCTCTGCAGCCGCACGCGTGTGCATGTGCGTGTGTGCCCAGCAACGCCCAGGACTGCCTCGGCTCAGGTTCTCCCACAGGCCGCCTGCCCTCCGCTCTGCCTCCCCGGGAACGACAGGGCCTGCGCTTTAGGTCTGGCGTCCTGAGCGTCACAGAGAGCACCCGGGTCCACGTGCTCTGCCGACGCGGCTTCCAGGCGGCAAGCGGCCCTTCAGCCGAGGAAGCTGTTTCTTTGCTTGTCCCGAGAACGGCCCGTGACCGGCTGGACTCAGCCGTGGACACTGGCCCAGGTTCAGGGCGGGCCACTCTGGCCGCCCTGACATCTGTGCACCCGCCACCCAGGGCGCACGGGGGGAGGGGGGGGGCACGGAGTTGCACGGAAGCGCTAGACCCAGCCCGCCAGCCACGGGGGACTGCAATCCTCACCATCTGTGACCACCCTTCGCGCTTGCCTTTACACAGCAGTGGCCGCGCAGCGCGGAACGCAGGGCTTCTGTCGGGGAAGGAGAAGCTCGCGGCGTGCTGGCGGAGTCTGGCCCGAGACGCGCCGGCGGCTTCCGAGTCCCTGAAGCAGGGCCGGGCCTCGGGGAGGAAGCTCAGCACTGGGCCCGGGTCTCCCGCAAGCGCAGGCCCCAGCGTCCGGAGTCCCTGCCGAGGACGCCCTCGAGGACAGCTTGTTCCCGGGGCAGAGGGGATGAGAACTACTCCCGCTCAAGGCACAGCCAGGCTGTGGCCTTGGGGTCCCAGCAGGGCGGGGCAGGAGGCGCAGAGCGCTGCGGCCACCACGAGTGAAAACACAAAACCCAACAAATTGCAAAAGCCACATTTCTAAAGATGTAGGAAAGCCGTGGAGCTGCCGGGGCTCGGAGCCCCACGGAGGAGGGAGCCACGGGCCAGGGGCCGCACGGGGCAGGCACAGCCACCGCCACCTGGGAGCCTGGCGCACGGCGGCCCTGCCCCCCAGACATGGGCGGAGGGACCCCGCAGCCTCAGGACCTGAGAAAGCGCCTGCCCAGACGCAGCCGCCCCTCCACGCCGGCCTGTGCCACTGCAGGGGCAGCTGGGCCCGAGGTGACACAGCGGAGCGGGGCACCGTCAACTGCAGGCCGAGCCCGCAGCGCCTTCACGGAGGGCAGGACCAGCGGGACCGGGCATCCTGCGCGCTCAGCAAGGGGCTGCCCGAGACAAGTGAGGAAGCTCGACCTGCCCCGCCCCGCCCCGCCCTGACGCAGCTCGGCCCGCCTGGACCAGACGGAGCAGACACGCTGCAGGGGATGGAGAAACGTCCTCCTCTGCTTTTACACCTACGCCCAGGCAGATAACAAGAAATTACAGGACATGAAAAAAGCAGGAAAATATGACTGATAATCACGTTATAAGACGTGAAAAAATCAGGTGGTGGCCAGGTGCGGTGGCTCACACCCTTAGTCCCAGCAGGAGGCTGAGGTGGGAGGGTCACCTGAGCCAGGAGTTTGAGACTACCCTGGGCAATATAGCAAGACCCTGTCTCTAAAAAAAAAAAAAAAATTGTTATTAAAACTGGAAAAATTTAAGCAAGAGATTTAAAGGACTTATCAATAAAAATGAAAATAGACACTTCTACTTCTGACCAGGATAGTAACAGGAGCTTGCCCTCCTGCTGTGAACAACTGGAACACAAAACACAGGAAACAACTGTTTCCAGACACTGGACAAAAGGAGGCACAGGACTGCGATCCTGAAGAAGGGAAACAAACAAGAGACCCACGACCACCTCGGCCCTCCACCTGGAGCGCGGACCGCACACGCACGGCGTCCTGCCGAACCGCGGGAAAACACGATGTCAGGGAGGATGAGGCGCTGGAATCTGGGGCGGCGTCGCAGGAAGAGGCAGCTGCAGGGAAAACGCACCCCGTAAACCTGCAGAGGGAGCCCTCTGAGTTCGTGTGTGCACACGTGAGAACACGGGAGCGCTGGGATGCCGCAATTCCCAGAGCTCAGACAGGCAGGGAGCCATGTGAGTTCGTGTGTGTGCACACGTGAGAACACGGGAGCGCTGGGATGCGGCGACTCCCAGAGCTCAGACAGGCAGGGAGCCATGTGAGTTCATGTGTGTGCACGCCTGAGAACACAGGAGCGCTGGGATGCTGCGACTCCCAGAGCTAAGACAGGCAGGGAGCCAGCTGAGTTTGTGTGTGTGCACGCGTGAGAACACGGGAGCGCTGGGATGCCGCGACTCCCAGAGCTCAGACAGGCAGGGAGACAGCTGAGTTTGTGTGTGTGCATGCGTGAGAACACGGGAACGCTGGGATGTGGTGACTCCCAGAGCTAAGACAGGCAGGGAGCCATGTGAGTTTGTGTGTGTGCACACGTGAACACGGGAGCGCTGGGATGCAGTGACTCCCAGAGCTCAGACAGGCAGGGAGCCATGTGAGTTCGTGTGTGTGCACGCATGAGAACACGGGAGCGCTGGGATGCTGCGACTCCCAGAGCTCAGACAGGCAGGGAGCCATGTGAGTTTGTGTGTGTGCATGCGTGAGAACACGGGAGCGCTGGGATGCAGTGACTCCCAGAGCTCAGACAGGCAGGGAGCCATCTGAGTCCATGTGTGTGCACGCATGAGAACACGGGAGCGCTGGGATGCCGCGACTCCCAGAGCTCAGACAGGCAGGGAGCCATGTGAGTTTGTGTGTGTGCATGCGTGAGAACACAGGAGCGCTGGGATGTGGTGACTCCCAGAGCTCAGACAGGCAGGGAGCCATGTGAGTTCGTGTGTGTGCACGCGTGAGAACACGGGAGCGCTGGGATGTGGCGACTCCCAGAGCTCAGACAGGCAGGGAGCCATGTGAGTTTGTGTGTGTGCACGCGTGAGAACACGGGAATGCTGGGATGCTGCGACTCCCAGAGCTCAGACAGGCAGGGAGCCATGTGAGTTCGTGTGTGTGCACGCGTGAGAACACGGGAGCGCTGGGATGCAGCGACTCCCAGGGCTCAGACAGGCAGGGAGCCAGCTGAGCTCCAACCGCCAGGCGGACGGAGCTCAAGAGCACTCATGAGCCCGCAGACGGGGCACCAGCCCTCGAGTAAAGCTCACCCTGACCCAGGGCTTGGAGAACAGCCCACCGCCCGCTGCCTGTCTCCACAAGTGCAGTTTTACTGCGGCACAGCCACGCCGTTCATCTATGTATTTCTTTCCTTTTTTTTTTGAGACAGACTCTCACTCTGTTGCCCGGGCTAGAGTGCCGTGGCATCAGCCTAGCTCACTGCAACCTCCAACTCCTGGGCTCAAGCAATCCTCCTGCCTCAGCCTCCCAAGTACCTGGGACTACAGGCATGTGCCACCATGCCCGGCTAATTTACATATATATGTATTTTTTTAGTTGTCCAATTAATTTCTTTCTATTTTTAGTAGAGACGGGGTCTCGCTCTTGCTCAGGCTAGTTTTGAACTCCTGTCCTTGAGCGATCCTCCCGCCTCGGCCTCAGAGTGCTAGGATTACAGGCATGAGCCACTGCGCCCGGCCTCATCTATGTATTTCTTACGGATGTTTTCAGAGCTCCAACAGCAGAGCTCTGTGGTCATAACAGAGACACTGCTTTAGGCCTGCGGTCCTAAGTGCTTACGATCTGGCCCTTTACAAAAGTTCTCTACAAAGGCTAGAAATGAACATGCAAAGTGCGAGCTGAGCCGCGAGCGGAGCGCAGGCTGGGTGTAGCAATGCCATCACAGCTGGCTGCAGCCTCCGACTCCCGGGCTCGAGCATCCTCCGCTCAGCCTCCTGGGTGGCCAGGACTACAGGTGCCACCACCACGCCCTGCAGTGATCGCAAAGCCAGACAAAGCAGAACTCGAGGCAAGAATATTACTAGGCATCAAGAGACATTTCCTCAGGATAAAGGAGAGGAAAAGAAGCCCTAAATGTGTATGTACCAAGCTACACAGCATCAAACACACGAAGTAAAAACTGGGAGACGGACAGGACTGAGAGAAGAAACACACAAATCCGTAACCAGGGCTGGAGATTTGAACCCCCCTCGCGCGGTGACTGACAGAACGAGGAAACAGAACCACCGGGAGGACCAGGGAGCTTGAGCAATACCATCACCCACGTTTTCTGGCATTGCAGAAGACGCTCCCCAACAACAACAGTAAGACGTGTTCTTCTGAAGTTCACACGGAACAGTCAAGACAGATGATAAACTGGGCCCTAACACAAGTCTCAACTGATTTTAGAGGATTTCAATAACAGAATGTTCTCTGATCACAAGAGAGTTAAACTAAAAATTAAATTGAGAAATTTACCTGAAAAATCACAAATTATTTGGAAACCGAGAAACATACTTCTACATGTTATAGGACAAAGAAAAATTACAAAGAAAATTTTCAAATATTTTGAGCAAAATAAAATTAAAACATAACATCTCAATATCTGTGGATTGCAACTAGAACAGTAATTACGAGGAGGAATAAGAATCAAGTCCAAGCTACGTCCACCGTAGAAAGCCAGAAAAAGAAAAGTAAGGTCGTGTTTCAGTTGGAAGGAAGAATATAAAAGTAGAAGGAGAGCGGCGAGGTGCCCATAACCTACAATCCTACACTCGGGAAGGCCGAGGCGGCGCGGATGCCTTCAAGGTCAGGAGTTCGAAACAGCCTGAGCAAGAGCAAGAAGCAGACCCATCTTTACTAAAAATAGAAAGAAATTACCTGGACAACTAAAAATAAAAACAAAAAATTAGCTGGGCATGCCCGTAGTCCCAGCTACTCGAGAGGCCGAGGCAGGAGGATTGCTTGAGTCTAGGAGGTTGAGGTTGCTGTGAGCTAGGCTGATGCCACGGCACTCTAGTCCAGGCAACAGAATGAGACTCTGTCTCAAAAAAAAAAAAAAAGGTAGAAAGAAATGCAACAGAAAACAACAAATAGAGAAAACAAAGCACCAATACCAGGGCAGAAAGAGGGGACGTCATTACAGACATCGAAGGTTAGTAATGTAATATTAACAACTTGATGTAAAAAAATCTGACTATTTATATAAAACACAAATGTTCTC